TTTTTGAGTTGGAGTCTCACTCTGTCACCCTGACTGGAGTGCAGTGGCCGCTCCCAGCCATTGCAGCCTCGACCTGCTGGGCTCCGGCGATCCTTCTGCCCCAGCCTTCCAAGTAGCTGAAACTACAGGCACGTGCCACTATGCCTGGTTAATTTTTTGATTTATTGTAGAGATGAGGTCTCGCCAAGTTGCCTGTGCAGGTCTCGAACCCACAGGCTCAGGCAATCCACTCACCTCAGCCTCCCAAAGCACGGGATTACAGGCTGAACCACCGAGCCCAGCTTCCCAGCACTTTAAAAGGCTGAGGCAGGAGGATCACTTAAGCACAGGAGTTTGAGACCGGCCTGGGTAAAATAGTGAGACCTTATCTTCATAAATTAAAAAAAAAAAGTAAAAAGAAAAATAAAAAAAATTAGTTAGGCCTGGTGGTATGTGCCTGTAGTCACAGCACTGTGGGTGGCTGAGGCAGGAAGACTGTTTGAGCCCACCAGCCTGGGCAACATAGCAAGACCTCATCACATTAAAAAATCAGCCAGGTGGGCCAGGTGCAGTGGCTCATGCCTGTAATCCCAGCACTTTGGGAGGCAGAGGTGAGAGGATTGTCTGAGCTCATGGGTTTGAGCCCAGCCTGGGAAACTTGGTGAGAACTCATCTCTGCAATAAAAATTAAAAATTAGCCGGGTGTGGTGGGGCACACCTGTAGTTCCAGCTACTTGGAAGGCTGAGGTGGAAGGATTGCCTGAGCCCAATAGGTGGAGGCTGCAGTGGTCTGAGTGTGCCACTGCACCCCAGCCTGGGTGACAGAGTGAGACTGTGACTCAAAAAAAAAAAAAAAAAAAAAATCAGTCAGGTGTGATAGCATGCATCTGTAGTCCCAGCTATTTGGGAGGCTGAGGCGGAAGAATCACTTGAGCCCAGAAGGTCAAGGCTGCAGTGAGCTGTGATCACGTCACTGCACTCCAGCCTGCGCAACAGAGTAGGACTCTGACTCAGAAAAAAAAGAGCAGCTATAAAACCTAGCGGGGAGCCGGGCTCGGTGGCTCAGCCTGTAATCCCGCGCCTTGGGAGGCTGAGGTGAGTGAATTGCCTGAGCCTGCGGGTTCGAGACCCGCCTGGGCAAATTGGTGAGCCCTCATCTCTACAATAAAAAAAAAAAAAAAACCTAGCGGGGACTGTGGGCCCGGCCTGCTGGGGTGGGTCCCTGGACAGGGTGGGTACCTCTTGTAGCACTGCAGCTCCTCCTGCACCACCAGTAGCTGCGACTTGAGCTGGTTGCGTTCCTGCAGCACATCCCTGAGCTCCTGCAGAGTGAAGCGTGGACGGTTGGGATCTGTCAGGTCAACCACCATCTTGTCTGGTCCCAGGTTCACCTGGAAGAAAAGATGCCACTTACATGGCTTCCCTCCTGAGAGGGGACTGTCTATTCCGGAAGGGAAAGTTCTCTTGTCTGTGGTTCCCAAGGCCCCTGTGAGAGCAGATGTTGCCTGCTAGAAGTGCTTGGATGATGGTAAAGAAGCAAAAATTGCAAAGATCATGCTTCAAGAGAAGAATCAGAGTTCCTCGCAGAATAGTTGATCCCAGAGCTAAGGCAGAGAAAGTATAAACCAAACCCAGAATGTGCTGTTAGGTAATGAACAGACACGGATCAAAAGGACACAGTTTGAAGGCATAGTTCTTGGTCAAACTGAGAAAAATTTGAGTATCAAAATGAATAATAGGGCTGGGCATGGTGGTTCAAGTCTGTAATCCCAGCATTTTGGGAGGCCGAGGAGAGAGGATTGCCTGAGATCAGGATTTCGAGACCAGCCTGGGCAACTTGGTGAGATCTCATCTCTACAATAAGTCAAAAAGTTAGCAGGCAGTAATGGCATGCTCCTGTAGTTCCAGCTACTTGGATGGCTGAGGAGAAAGGATCACTTGAGCACGGTGGGTCAAGGCTGCGGTGGCGGGGAGCGTGCCACTGTACTCCAGACTGGGTGACAGAGTAAGACTCCTACTCAAAACAAAACAAAAACAAAATAAATAAATAAAGTTAAAATAAAACAAACATTTGCAAATAACTTTTTTTTTTTTTTTGAGTTGGAGTCTCACTGTGTTGCCCAGACTGGAGTGCAGTGGCCGCTCCCGGCCACCGCAGCCTCGCCCTGCTGGGCTCCGGCGATCCTTCCGCCTCAGCCTTCCGAGTAGCCAGAATTACAGGCAGGCGCTACCACGCCCGGCTGATTTTTTGATTTGTTGTAGAGATGAGGTCTCGCCAAGTTGCCCAGGCGGGTCTCGAACCCACGGGCTCTGGCAATCCACTCACCTCAGCCTCCCAAAGGCGCGGGATTACAGGCTGAGCCACCAGCCCGGCTGTTTGCAAACAACTTAAATGTCCATTAATAGAAGTCTCGTTAAATAAAGGCACGACCACATGCCGGAATCTTCTACAGGTGATACAGAGAACAAGGCGCATGATCAAGAGAATGCAGCTGTGAGCGCCCACGTTTCCCCCACCAGCCTGGCCAAGATCAGCAAGAATGGGCACACTTGGAAACACTGGGTGGTGAGGGCAATGGAGAAGAAGGCACTCGCTTGATGACCAAAGTATGGATCTCATTAACCTCTGCAGAGTGGAATTTGGCAATACTGCACTTAGTGACATTTCAAATGCTCCTTTCCTTTGACCCAGTGAGGACCCATTTCCTCTAGAGAGCAGCTTCTCTGGGGCCAAATGGCACATGTCAGGATGATTCATTGTTGTATGTGGCAAGAGGAAATGAGTGGAAGAGAAATGTTGCTAGATGACTGGTTAAAGCAGAGACTGTTAACCCTTTTTTGGTGCCATAGACATTTTGGAAACCTGAAAAAGGCATTGGATGCCTTCTCAGAACAATGTTTGTAAATGTATAAAATAAAATGCATTTTGCCAATACTCTGGAGACCAACGTGGGAGGACTGCTTGAGTCCAGGACTTCAAGACCGGCCTGGACAACAGAGTAAGACCCAGTCACTAAAAAAATTAAAAGAAGCCGGGCTCGGTGGCTCAGCCTGTAATCCCGCGCCTTTGGGAGGCTGAGGTGAGTGGATTGCCTGA